CCCGAATAGATGGGAGTTCGATACCCAACATTATTAAAGGAGTGTACAACAGTATGGAGGCTCAGATTTGAGTACAGGGCAAAGGTTGTTCTAACACTGCCATGGCTGCAATGACATCCACTGGCATGCATGCCCTGCCAAGTTACAGGTCAGATTAAACCATGCCCAATACTTGGGTCAGAGATGAAGTGAACAATTATCATCATAGCCTCAAAAATCTGGGTCCTGGGTCTACCAAACAATAAGAGTTGAGAGATGAAATTACTCGCCATTCATCAGTCATGACAATTATAATCAAACCCTAAAGGGTTTTATGGGACGGAGGGAGTACAATTATTACTGAGTATTATCATATGTTGTGGAAAATATAACAGCACAAACGGCGTTATAGTTCCTACTCAGTTCCACAAGAAGGGCTGTTGAAATTTAGAGATGAAATCAACGGCATAGCAGTGAGGGTCAACCGCCCTTCGAGAAACCCAAGACTCTTTGCAAGCCTCGTTCATTCTACATCTCTTCTCTAACAAGAACTTCAAATAGATCATAACAGTATTTTTGGTTTGAGGAAAGAAAGGGAAGGGATACGATGATAGAGGCTCATACATTAAATATGCATGATACACTCTACTATCAAGAAATTGTTACCTTCAACTGAGTCTGGTCCTCATATTATAAGGGTCCGTTTGGTATATGGAATTGATGGAATTAAAATTGAATTGGAATTGTAATTCCATGAGATTCAATTCCATAGAATTGAATTCACCAATTCTCATTCATTTTTTGCACTATCAATTTTAAATCCACATAATTTTTGTGCTACCAAACACCAGAATTGGAATTGAAGTCTTCAATTCCAATTCCATAGTTTGAATTCCGTGTACCAAACAATAAGGGAAAAGTTGTAAAAGAACAAAGATACAGCCATGGCTGCAAATCTCAGTTTTGTCTGGATTTGCCCTACCAAGATACTGATCAAATTTCATGAAGCCGCAAGCTGAGAAAACTAATATAAAAAAATAATAATTCATCATGACGCAAAGCTTCACGTAGACAGGCAGCATATGAGGAGAAGAATATGATTAAAAATATACGGAGTACATGCAGATAAAGTTGCATTTTCTATAAATGCATAGAGGGCTGTTTGTTTTTTGGCAAATCATTGGCAAACAGAGATGAGCAAACCACCCTTACAGAATCCTTAAGATCTCTGCCGCCTCGTTCATCTGCAATCCCGAAAGTCTCAACGCACCTGGAGTTGGATTAGAACCCTAATCGCATTTTACAGCAACTCATTTTATCCACGGTTAACATTGGCACATCATATTATACTAAGGCCATGTTCCCTTCAACTTATTCTTACTACTTACTCGGTATTACTTTGGCAATGTATACTAAGGAAAATGGTTGTAAAAAAATATAACAACCTTATCCTTCCTCATTTCCACACAAGGGCTGTTGAAATTTATGGATGAAATCAATGGCATAGCAGTGAGGGTCAACCGCCCTTCAAGAAACCCTAGTCTCTCTGCAAGCCTCATTCAGTCTACATCTCTTCTCTGAAAAGAACTCCAACTAATAACACTATGTTTGGTTTGAGGAACGGAAGGAACAAGAATACACGATGATGGAGGTTCAGACATCAAATATGTATCATATACTCCACCATCAAGAAATTGTTCTCTTCAACTGAGTGTGATCCTTACTTTTGAACTGGCAAGTCGTAAAAGAACAAAGATACAGCCATGGCTGCAAATCTCAGTTTTGTCTGGATTTGCCCTGCCAAGATACTGATCAAATTTCATGAAGCCGCAAGTTGGGTACCCTAATATATCAGAAAAAAATTCATTAAGCCGCGAAGCTTCGGGTAGACAGGCAGTATATGAGAAGGAGAAGAAGAAGATCAAAAATATACGGAGTACATAGAATCGCATTTTCTATAAATGCATGGAGGGCTGTTTGTTTATTGGCAAACAGAGATGAGCAAACCACCCTTACAGAAACATCAAGATCTCTGCCGCCTCGTTCATCTCCAACCCTGGAGTCGGATTAGAATCCTAATCGCATTTTACAGCGACTCCTTGGGAATAGCTTTAGCTTTACCCTTTGGCTTAGCGTTTTCAAATTAATCTGCACTGTTAAAATTTTATCCAAAATGCTAACGTTAATCTCTAACGCTATTCCCAAACAGGTCCTAAATATTACAAAAATCTGATATTTCAAAACAATATTTAAAATAAAACCTATTTTACTAAATTTATATTATAACTAAATATATGTAACAGATCTCCGATAACTTGGTTTGCACATGCATTTTTATTACTTTCTTTGTCCCAATCTAAATAACATGTTTCGATTTACGATATTTGACATGAGTTATTTTTAATATAATTAATTTGAGAAACGGTATAGAATTAAAAGGTAAAATTTATATATTAAAATAACATCAAAAGTTCTACAAAAGAAGAAGTGTCATGACTATATTATTTTATCAAATAAATAACAAAAATAAAGATTAATGCAATTTGATCGTGTGAATGGTAAAAAGATGCTCCCCCGTCCGGAAATAATCTTCCCGTTTCTCGTTTTTCGCCGTCCGAAAAAAAATCTTCCCATTTCACTTTTTGATACACTAAATACCCAAAATACCCCCACTTACCATTTTCACTCTCTCCCCCTCTCCCCTTTCTATGCCCTTCCTCTCCACTCAATTCTTATCTTTTTCTCCTTCTCTCCTTCCTCTTCTCTATTTCTTCATCCGTTCCTCCTCTCTTTCCTCTTCACTTTTTCTTTTTCTTTCCCCCCTATTCTTCTTCCCCCCGTCTCCAGATAGATCTGTTATTCTTCCTTCCTTCTTCTTCTTCTCAAATCTTCTTCGTATTCATGTTCTTCTTCTTCCTCTCTTTTTCCAATTATTCTTTTCCCTCTCTCCGAGATCTACGGTAGATCTGTACTAGATCTTCTTTTCAACTTTCTCCCCTTCTTTTTTTCTCTTCCCTTTTCTGTCTCCCAGAAGTGGAGATGGTGGCGGCTATAGACGATGGTGGTGAGGGTTGAAGGGGCACGGTGGTGACTAGTGAGGGTTGATGGGCGATGGTGATGAGGGTTGAGGGACGATGGTGTTGACGGTTAAGGCGACAGTGGTGGGCCTGGGTCAATTGTGACAGGGTCGATGGAGATGGTCAGGTTAGGGGCGGCGACGATGATAGAACCGACGATGATGGGGGGTGGTGGGTGCTCGCCTTGGCAGAAAACATCGGCGACGATGATGGGGGCTGGTGGGTGCTAGCCTCGGCAGAAATTAGAGGAGGGGGGTGTTGGGCTGTAAAAGTGTAAAACAAGAAATGAAGGGTATATTAGTCATTTTCCTTCCAAAGTCAACCTTTAATAAAAATAGGAAAAAGTCCAAATGGGAAGATTAATCCCGGACGGAGGGAGTAACATAATTTAGGACGGAGTACTTATTTGATTAAAGAAAATAGATACTCTATGTTTCTACTTGAAATGTAGAATTATTGAATTCGTTTTTAAATTTGTAAATTGCAATCTTTACTCATTTGTTTTTTATAAATTAAATTATTATAAAAGAGATAAAATTTTATACATTTTTTAAAGATGATAGTAATTTAGTAACAACTAAAATATTGTAATTACTTAAACAATATTAATAATAGTACTATTCATAAGAAAAATAATATTATTTAATCAATGTTATTTTTATTACTTAATTTTATACTCTGAATAACAGTATAGGAATAATTATTAGTATATTATATACAACATTAAATAGTAAAATTTGCACAAAATAATACTAAAACGCATGTCATTTTTCAATGTAGTACTTAAACATTTTTATTTTCTAAATAGTACTTGAATAATGTCTAGTGGTGGTAATAATGTTCAGTGATGATGGACATTTAATTTGAACAATGTCTAATGTTGCTGGATATTTACTTGAACAATGACCAATTGACAATGACCAATGGTACTACATTGAAAAAATTATTATGTTTTAGTACCATGTAGGTAAACCCCCCCCCCCATTAAATAATATGACACAAGTTAATTTTATACTGAACAATGTGTAATAATATAAGTAAAATAGTATTATTTTTCAACATTTTTTGGGATTTATTTAATATAATCTAATAAAAGTCGTATTTGACTAGTTTCTGATTTTCTGATTAAATCTAAACTGATTATATCTCATCCGATCAGATCTAGCCTGATCTGATTGGATCTATTTAGATATGATCTAATATTAACAAGGATATGTAATAGGCTAACCAATAAATTGGACGGAACGGGCCGTAAATTGTAAGAAAACGGAAATGCTAAAACTCTACTATTGATTTTGATAATATGTTGAATTCAAAAGTATTAAGGTCAAAGTTTTTAAATTTCATACAGATCTAAAGAGGTGTATTCAATTGTAAAATTTGTTGTGAACAAGACCAAAACACAACTCATTTTCCTAAATATGACTTCCTAGTCTTAATTACATATAGGACTTAATTAATAAATTAATTATTAAATAACAATATTCTTTTACGAAAATACACTTATACATAATTAGTAGTGTATTTAATTTCATATATAGCCTCTATTACGAATGATTTTCCATATGTAGTCCCTAATTCTCTCATGTTCCATAAATGGTTCTCAATTTTAGAAAACTATTTCATAAATAGTCATTTAGACCAATTATAAGAAAATACGTTTTCCAAAAATAGTATGTGAAGAACCGACTATGAAATAGTTTTCAAAGATTAAGTACCATTTATGGAATATCTAAGAATTAGAAACTAAATATAGAAAATCACATGTAGTTAGAGATTTTTTTATAAAATTTACTCTTAATAGTATTAAACATAAACCTAATCAAACACCCTCTCTCCCATCTTCCCAATTCTAAGTGCAACCATGCCACATCTCTTCTTCTTTCTTCTTATTTTTCTCTTGAATAGCCCCCCTCCCCTACCACACACCCCACACAGACATATGGCGCCATGCGTTCCGCCACTAGTCATCGCCACCACCATCGCTTTGTGTGTTGCCGACCACCACTGCTACACATACATAACAAGTTTTTTCAATTTCCTTATCTAATTTACTTCTGTTTCTTCGATCTAGTTTTCTAACTTTTTTTATCGTTGAGTTTTTCTGGGTAATTATTTACAACTTTTTTTAAATTAATTGTTAGATGTTGACTATGAACATTAAATACAATGAGTATCATTCTTTTTTTATTGATAAAAAGACATGAAATATGTTATCATTCTCTTTCGTCATTATTGTCTTTTTTTTCAATATTACCACATAGACGTTTAAATGCTATAGACATTGTGACATAGTGAATAATGTCTATACAAAAGATAACATTAGATGTAAGCAAAGACATTAAGGAGGGTGTATTCAATCCGGATTCTGATATATTTTTTTGGATTCTAAAATTTCGTAGGTATTCAATTCAAAATTTAAAAAGTCATTTAAAATCTGGGTGTATTCAATTCAAACTTTAAAAAATCTTTCTAAATATGATGGTATTCAAAAATTGATAAATTTCTAAAGATTTTAAAAAATGTGGATTTTGATGGATTCTTATGTCTTGGGTATAAATACAAATCAAAGTTCCAAATCCAATCAAAAGACCTGGGATTTTGCGGACTCTCCTATTTCTTCTTCCGCCGCAGGAACTGGTGCTTATCTAAAGCAATCAGTGTCGTCAGTGCACATGGCCAAGAAAGACTTTAAGTGCTTCACTAAATTATGTGGCAATTTTGACTACAAGATGTCTGATGGGGTCTTAGCTCGGTGCCTTGGCGTTGAAGAAGCAGGTAGTTTTCGAGATGGGTGGATTGCTTTGAATAGCTATGTCGCTAAAGCCCTTGTGATTCGACTTTCCTTCTTTGATGGATCTAGCAGCAATCCTTCATATACAATTATTAGACCGGACCCAAATGGGCTGCCTACGTAGCTCTCACAGGTACGACCAACGGGAGTCCCTCAAAGATTCCTCTTCGAGTGACTTCGTACCTCGAAGAGAGGAGTCGCTCGAAGAGGCGCATAAGAGAATCAGGTCACCGTAGTTCATTTCTAAAATAAGATCAGATAATACAAGAATTTAGAATACGAACATGTTCATATTCAACAAGCAACGGCTCAGCTTCATCTTCTTCGACTTTCATCTCCCTCTATCCTTCACTCCATCTTCTTCTTCCTCCTCCTCTAATCTCAAGCCTTTGATTTTTTAGAAATAGAGAAATTAGGAAACCTATTTTAAATACTTCGATAGAAATTAGGAAACCTATTTTATACTATAAATTACACACTCTTTGGAGAAATCGTATCAGAGAATCGATCTTCTCCTTGGACCTGCGATTTGCAAATTGTAATTGTTGTTCTACGTTTTGCATCTGCTCTTCTGCTCTTCAAAGGGAATCAAAGCTATTTCCTTCGGCTAATCCTATTGGTACTATCGTACAACATGATTTTTTTCAACACTTTACCATTTTTAAACAATAACTTGTTGATTTTTATTCTGTAGGCCAACTTTAAAAATATGATTTTGAATTATTTTTTGTTAAACTTTGAACACTTATCTTTTCTAAACATGGATTCTAAACAGGAGGGTGATAATAGTTCCAAGTTAATAGAACAAGTATTTACTAAATCACCATTTTGCTAATTAAGTATTCTTTTTACGTTTACAATTCTATACTTTGTATTTTATCATTTTTTGTTGTTGTATCCTTGCTGTCCCTGCTTCCTGTAATTTTATCCGTTTTTTCTTTGATTTTGTGATCTCATGTGTTAATGGTCTATTGAGCTTCATTCCAAATACTATCGCCTAATAAGGGCATAAGCATATCGTTTCAAATACTATTGCCTAATAACTAAACTAATAAGACATTCAACATGTTGTGCGTACTTCGTATGGCTACATCTTCACTGCGAATTATCTCTATATTAAATATTTATTGTGTAAAAATTTACATTATGCATAGGTTTGATTATATTAGGTATTTCCAAACTACACTAAAAACTTCACCAAAACATATCTTGATGATCTTAAACCTTGAACACACATAAAACCTCACATCAAGGAAATCAAAGTTTCAATTAATAATAATTATTAATCACTAATCCAACTATGTTTGCAAAACAAATCTAAGTTTCTTTAGAAGATCATAACAAAATTCACAAAAAAAATCAAAACACGCATACAAAATTAGAATTACAGGATTATGTATTGAATGCTCGATTTTAAACTGAGAAAGACAAAGGGAAAGATTACATACCCAAAGATGGTCCTTTGGGCATGAATGAGCTCTCTGCCACCCTACAAAAGAATATCCAAACTATCCTACAAAAGTTTCCAAATAATTCAATCAAATCCAAACATAAAACTAAATCATGAATAATTTGAAAACAAATTTCAACAATTTCAAGATCTCAAAAAATAAGAAACAAAATACCTGGAACTAATTTTAGACCAGCAACTAATGTAACTCTTCCTTCCAAATAGCATTTTCAATCAATTTTGCTATAAATATCGTTTGTGTGATAGATTAAATCAGAAACACGTGCTATTTGAGAAAAAGTTAATAATACAGTGAAGACTACTCTTGAGAAAGACCACTGGTCTAAGCTGTTACCAGTGAAACATAGAAAAAGATTATGCATTTTGATATATTTATTATGCATTTAAGTCGCGTAAGAAAAGATTTACAAAAAATATTCCATCACAGAAATTCACAAAGTTGAGCTCTTCTGAGTTCTAATGGAAGGAGCATTGGAGCAGCTATTTTGATATATCTATTGCACGAATTGATGCACTGTAGCTGCAATTTGCGGGCAAAGCCCCTCCGTGCCGCCAGAATCCAGCCTGCCTAGGGTAGAAGGTTAGCCGGCGTTGTCGTCTCCCACCTTGTTCTGTTCGAATCCCTGTTGTCCATGGCGGAAGAAGGGTCAAAACCCTAGTCGCTCCTTCTCCTGTTGATAGAATCGAAGTGATAGAGCACATAAGATTGAAGCTGGCGTAGATTTCGATATGAAGGGATTACCTTTTTTTGGAGAAGCTTACGGAATACGCTGGCGGAGAAGCTTACAGAATACGTTGCGCATATCTTTTTACTTCGCATATAGTTCAGGACACCTGCACTAATAGGCTTCATAGCCCACTTTTTAAAGCCAGCCCATTAAATGAAGACCCGGCCCAAAAATTTGGGCGGGAATACTGTTCATTTATGCCCCTCACCATTGTATATACTAGACTCGTACCCGTGCGATGCACGGACTGTAAATTTACTTATATTTAGGCAATGTTTGGAATGATAAAAAATGATACAAAACTTGAAAGATTAAATAATTTATTAAATGAGTCCAAAAAGGTAGTGTACAGTAATGATCATAGTCAATATGAAGTGTTAAGTTTTGGAGCACTTCTTTATTAACAACATTCGTAGTTTGGTTGGATGACATAAGGTCTTTCATTTAAATCAAGATCTTTAATCATTCATGGCTTGTAATATGTAAAATTGCAACATAAAATTGACCATGACTAAATAGATTTCTTTAATAGCAATCCAACATGCGACAAAGATTGGCATTGACTTTTGCTAATTGTCATTGCGTATGAAATCATGATTGAAAATTGTTTCATTTGAAATCCAAAAGCAATTATTGTATCTGACTGTGTAAGCGACACACATGGGATAACAACTTCTTGCCCTTGCCATCACGTTGCACGTCCTGAAATTTAATTTTAAAATTTAAGTATTTTTTCATAAGAATATATATTTATTGAAATACGGAGTAAAAGATATAATTATTAACCGCTATGTAAAGTTAATCTAATCAAAGATTAGCCATACATTATTATGGTTTTATGGTAAAATTTATATGAAGTAATGACATAGAGTTATAGACTTTAAAAGTTATGCATGATAGCATATTTTTGTTCTTCTTTTGGACCAGCTTACTTCTAGTAAAAGACAACGTCTAATTCTTGTTACTCAAATACAAATAGTAACTCAAATATTGTCAAAAATTATAAAACAGCCCTTATTAGGCAAAATGTTTTCATATTTGCTTTGTACGGAGTATATAAAAGAGATAAATTAATAGAGTATGCATTCTTGACAGGTAGTACATCCATTCTTTTGCCTTGTTTCTCCACTTGATTTGAGAGGCCCAGATTTAAGAAGAAACAAACTTGCAACAAAAAAAGAAGCTCACTTCATATCTTAAATTGTGGTAGGGATCAAAGAAAGGAAGGACAAAAGAGAAAGGAAGAACCAACCAAAACAACTCTAAAAAGAAGTGAAAGCCAAAAAAATAAAAAAAACATCCAAAGTAAAATGGTCCTAAGTCTATACAGTTGAGAGTGTTAAATATGTTAAGATAATATTCCATATTTAATATGATTATTATATATATGGTAGATTCCATAATTGTATAAGATTCCATTTAATGTAATTTCCTTATACTACACCCTCCTACATGTATATAAGGGGAGGTAAATATTTTGTAATAATAATCATTGGAAATTTACAATTCTTCATGGAATCTACCATATATATAATAATCATATTAAATATGGAATATTATCTTAACATATTTAACAGAGAGCACAATAAGCTACACATCTAAAACATTTATTACCAAGCTGGGATGAACTTATTTAAATAAAAATTCATGGCATTTAATTTAAGTTACTAAATAATATTTAAAATGTAAACTTAAACCAAAGAAATTGAAAAGGGAAATATAAAAGAAAGAGAGCAGATCTGTTCTCTGTCTGGCTAGAAGTCTTCATCGAAAAACACAGTGTTATCCATGGTTGTATGCTTGTGTTAAGCACTGTCTAATTTTCTAAAATTTGATCATATATCTAATAGAAGACAAAAACTCGAAGAAGAAAATGAAATACCTGATAGGATGAAAAACGTATCAACAGAAACCCTAAACAAAAAGAGTGGTCAGCATTCAACTGTATAAGTTCTTTTCCTATATATTTCCTATGTATTGGAAGAAAAGGCATGATGATGGCAAATCAAACTACATCTTATCTCCAAAATTAACAAAAACCAAAGCTATTATGAAATAACACCAATAATATGAAATGCTAATAACAACAATAACAATAATGATAATACTAATAATAATTAAAGAAATGAACATGTCCCCTGCACGATGAACCCATGTCCTCTCTTACCCAATGTCACTCGCTCTCCTCCTTTCACTGCAACAAACAAAAGGCAAGAAAGTTATAATCAAAGAGTGAGGTACGTTTGCCCTTTTAAAAAGTTTAATACATAATTCATCACTTAATAACAATTATTAAATGCACATTACATTAGTAAATGACAAAGTTTGACTTATAATATTTTTTTAAATTAAAAGTTTTTAGCTCTCACTCTCAACTTTGCCCTTATAATAGTGTTTGAATATCAAATGAGAGTAGTGAAGTGAATTCCAAAACTTTTTTTCCAACATAGTTGCTTTAAAAAAATTAGGTTCATGAAAATATATGGTTTTCAAAACTTATTTCTGATTTAAAAATATGAGTTACAAATCCTCTGCATTATGAAGGCTTCAAAATAGAGTAAATATAGATTGTTTTGATCAATTACACATTTAATTGTCAAACTAATTTATTTCAATTGCAAAATCTTATTGAAAATTAGAGAGCATTAGAATGGTAAGCCAATCAGACCTGAGAAAGGTAGAAATCATAAACATAATTGAGCTAGTAGAGTGTTACTGGTTGCCATTAGCACATCCAAACGTAATCATACCTGTAAATTTGAGTCTTCGGCAAATATGAAATGAATAAATATCAAAAGTAAATTAAAAATTATTTCTACTTTGGGATCTGATTTTAAAAAATGCATAAAAAATAAGACAGACATAAAAAATACAGTTTTATTTTGCATCTGTAAGATACGGAGTACTAATTAATGGGGTGAAAGTCCAATAATACATGGAGTAAACAATAACAACCCAATTACAGTCCATGTAAAAATGCAGCCTAAATAGAGAAAGAGAGCTATGAAGCAAAATAAATGAGTAAACAATAATGACACATACTGCACAATGGTCGTCTTCCTCTTCGTTCGAACCATTGGAAGCCAATAACCATCTCGGGTCTGCTAGGCAATTGTCCTCGATGCAGGAGACGTATGAGCCACCTCCGTTTCAAATCCATCCCTGCCGGAATCCATGGTCATAGGCTCTGATTGTGTCGTCGCCCTCTGGCGGAATCCCTAGATCTGGAAGTTTAAGGCCGACTCCTGCTTAGCTTCTACAATACGCCTTTCTCCACTCACGGATAGTGTCTGACATACTCTTCCTTTTTTTACTTTTACTGTAGCAATTTGTTTGGTATGTTTGCCATAATCTGGCCCAATAATGATAGAAACTCATAGCCCGTTACTTTACCCATTTCTCAGCCCGTTACTGTAGCTCCGTTTGGCGGGAACACTGTTCATTTTTCTCTCCTATCTTTGTATATAGATAGAGATGAATAAAAATACTTTAAGCTCAATGGTTAATGTCCATCTGGCAAACGACATTGTTGAAGATGATAGGTACAGCGGCAGCAGCATATAGTAGCACGGTAGTGGGGATAGTAGTAGCGGCAATGCAATCAGAGAATCCATGGAGTAATGATTTATGTTTTTTTTATATTTTATTTTAAGTTTATTTTATACGGAGTATCATTTGTTTGTATTGCAAAGATGGATGCAAGTGGTTTCATCCACGAGCGATAGAGATAAATCTATCAATAGTATATTATATTTTTTCATAATTTGCAATGCTTTTAAGAGAATATATCGAATTTTATTTGAATGTTTTCATCACTACCAATTAATATTTTAATGCCGCCTTAAAATTTCATATAATTCATCAAACAAAAATACTATTTCGGCTAAAAAATTGTTTCACATTTTTAGAGAGGGAAAAAGATATTTTTTCGAAAAAGTCTAACATTTGACTTTCTTTGAATATAGTAATTACATCATCAATATCTTCTTCTCACATAAGATTACTGTTAGAGCTCAAAAAATTGAATTTTTTATTCTTTTAAAAAACTGTTTTAAGTACATTTTTATTTAAAAAATACTTGTTTATAAAAGAATTTTACAAATCTTAATTTTTTAGACTAAAAATACTTTTATACTTAAAAATATATTTTTTGTGTATAAAATGTTAAAACATACCTAAGAGTTTTGGATATGATTAGGTGAGAATTAGACCAAGTTAGAGGCTGTTTGGCAACTTCTGAATAGGTAAGTGCTGAACCAGTAAGAGGTCTGAACCATTAAGTGCTGAACCAGTAAGAGGTCTGAACCATTAAGAGCTAGTATATTGCTTAACTATTCAGAGGCAAATGTCTGATCAATTTAGATAAGAGGTCTTAACCATTCAGACTCTGTATAATACTTAATCATTCAGAGGCAAATGTCTGAACCATTCAGACATCCGAACCATTAAGAGGCTGAAACAAACAGTATGTACCATTAAGTACTGAACCATTCAGACATATGAACCATTAAGAGGCTGAAACAAACAGCCCCTTAATATCCCAATGGATAAAACTTGAACCCAAACTTACATTTTAGGTATTAAAAAAAGAGTAATTTACCTAAATAGGACTAAAAAATAATGATTTTTCTAATATAAGATCATATGTTTTTATTTCCCAAAGTAAGATCATTGGTCATAATCAATTAGTCATTATTCAACTAAATGTCCAGCATCACTTGGACATTATTCTTCTCACTAGTCATTATTAACTCCTATTTAGGGAATAAAAAAGTTTAGAGTAAATTCCATAAAAGGTCCCCAGTTATATGTCGTTTTACATATTTAGTCCCTACATATCAAATATTACTAATTTAGTCCCCAATTATTATATTCATTTCCACGAATGGTCCTTTGTTAACATTTCCGTTGTTAACGTTTTTGTATGGTCCTTTGTTAACATTTTTCATAACGGAGTGTGAATTTACAATTTTATCCATGTTCTTAACGGAAATGTTAACAAAGGACCATTCGTGGAAATGAATATAATAATTGGGAACTAAATTAGTAATATTTGATATGTAGGGACTAAATATGTAAAACGAGCTATAATTGGAGATTTTTTATGAAATTTACTCAAAAGTTTAAGTCTTACATTAGAAAATAACTTATGTTTTAATCATATTCAGTGCAAATTTCACATTAAAAAATTAAAAAAATGAACTTAGGGATTAAGGAACCAACGTTTACTGGCGAGTCTGGTCAACACGCTCCACACCATCGGAAGGACCAGGGCTGTCGAACACTGTGCATCAAGCGTCCCGGCGTTTAGGTATACGGCGGTACATAGGTACATGCCTCCAATTTTTCAATCCTAGCCTCGTTAACGTTTATTTTTGTGTGTTTAATATGAATATTTGGAGCTTGAATATGAATTTATCCATTGAATTCAATTGTTGCACGAATCTCTCCAGATTTGAGATTATAAAGCTCGGATTTCCGTCTGATAAATTTGATTCTTACTCCTCACCTCAGGCTGAAAATGAATTTTAGAATCCCTAAAAACTGTTTGGATGCCTTTGATATGAAAATGAATGAGTAGTGTATAACTTGGTTTGATGTTTGAGTTATGAAACCTTCACATCTGAAAGTTATACTAATAAATTGAAAAATAGCTTTTTAAAAATAGCTTTTTAAATAAAAATACGTCATTATCGTGAAAAAAAAACACTTCCGAGCATAAACTTCTCCAATTTTCCTATAGGAAATAAGATCGTATGCACGAATTAATCTTAATTTAAGATGGGCACAAAATGTAGATGGCTTTTGTTCCATCAACTTCGTCCTAAGTGTAGGCATATTTGGTAAGTTTATATCTCAGGGGAGGGGGGGGGGATTAAAACTAACAAAATATGCTTGTATGGGTTGGTGGAGTGTGTAAGATTTGAAGGGTATTTATACTTGCACTCCAATGTAGTGGGTTACATGTGAAATTTACCACTTTGAATGAAGAAGAGTTGTTTTTTTAAGTTCCATGAGTTGAATCTTATATATGTGGCGACATGGAGGGCAAGAATTGACATTCTTTGGTTTCTTCCACTTCTAATGGATACTTGTCATTTACTGTAGGGACCATGTTCCATGGTTCTTCGTATAATTCAATGTTTGGTTACATAATGTATCTTGGCGTGGCCATAGGGAATTTCATTCAATTCTTGCAGCCATGGTGGTCTTCTCATTTGGATTTGGAATAAATTGAACAATTAAGAGGCTGTGATGATAAGTTTTGTATATTTTTCTCTTATTGGGTTATACTAAAATTTGATGAAATAATATGTATCTTGGCGTGGCTACCTGGAAGCAGCCATGGCATTCTCATATCTTTTTTCCCACTGATGAGTATATAAAGAGTTTATACCTGAGCCTTTTTTTAGTTGCTTCAAAATGACCATTTTCTGGAAATAATGACCATTACAATAGAAGAAAACTGACCAGCACATGGCTTGTGCTGGTCAGTTTGAAGAAAATGACCAGTTATTTCCAATTGCCATTCTATAATGACTAATGCAGTTGAAGAAAGTGACCAGTTATTTCCAATTGCCAGTTAAATTGAAATAAAATTTGGGTTTTTCTGTCCATTTCCAAGCCACCTGAGACTGTGGTATATATTTATATTTATATTTTTACAAAATAGGCTGATAAATATATATGCTTTGCTGCATATACTATTGGGTCTATTTCGTGTTGATAAAGTGTAAGATTCAAGGAATTAAAGATGGGGCAGAGTATAATTACTGCAAATCACACTTTTCATTTTTTGTCCATTTCTGATTGTAAATGTTGCTGGGTTGTTATACATTTGATTTTGGCCCTTTATGATTGTAAATGAGGCCTGGTTGAGATTGATTGGATTTATGCTAAGTGTCCCAAAACTGCAATAGCCATTGGATTACCTTCTTTTGGCGGGAAAATTAAGCACTGAAACTGGGCAGAGAATTCATTCTGCTTTTATATATATAGTAGAAACGGAGCAGCTCATAAAAAATGAAAGGTATGACAATTGCTATTTCTTCCGTTTCGTCTTCTATATTTGAATGCCGGCCTTGCATCGGCTATCCTCCTGCTTCTTCTTTTGATTTGCATAGCTAGGGCTTCCAATTCTGCTTTTCTTCTTGTTCTAGCTAGTTGATTTTTTTAATAAATATCTAGGGCTTGCTATTTCTTGCTCATTTGCCCATTCGCCATATCTGATATCTTGTTGCCGATTTTTCTTTTTAAAGAAAGTGAGGTTTTGTTGGCGGTTGATAGTGAAGGTAGATGATATGGTTGGAGTGGGTGAAGAAAAATGAATTGCAAAAACACTGTAGAAAAGCTAAAGAGACAAATAGTAGATAAAAAATGGAGTATGGGTTGGAGATGCTTGTCAAAGGAAGAACATGAAAAAAGGTATAATTCCTACGAGTTGATTTTCCGGTTGAAGTTCTGAACTTGTGATTTTTAGCTTTGAAATCCTGATTTTCCTGTTTCGTTTAGACTTCCCAAAAAACTAGTTTTGTTTTCGTTTGTGTGATGCATATTTAGGTTACTCTGTATATTTTGGGGTTCTTCAAGTGTGTGTCTGTGTGAATGTTAATGTTTCAACTGAAAAGCTCAATCTTTGATAAAAGCTTCTTTTGAGACTAGCAGACTCTCAGAGATTTAATGTCATACTCCCTCCGTCCAGAAATGATGTTCCAATTGTACCTTTTTTTCGTCCGGAAGTGATGTTTCCCATTCTACTTATTTTTTGACTCTTCCAAAACTACCCTCTTCCTCCTTTCTTTATTTCTCTCTTTTCTTCCATTCTTTCCTTCGGTTGACTCCTTTCGCCTTATCTTTCTCTTTACCCCCTGTTTCTCCTCATTTTTCATTCTTTTTCTTCTCTCTTTCACCGATCCGATCCTCCATCTTCTTCTTCTTCTTCTTCTTCTTCTTTCTTCCCCTGCTCTTTCTCTGATCCACACAAATCTCCCTCTTCTTCTTCTTCTTCTCATCATCATCATCATAATCATCATCATCATCATCATCATCATCTTCTTTTCCTCCCTTTTTCTTCTAGATCTAAACAGATCTGTGACAGAATCACCCTCCGCCTTTTCCTCTTCTTCTTCCCTTCTTTGTATTTCTTCTCTTTCTTCCAGATCTGCGATGGAGGGGGATGGCGGCGATAGAGGGACTGGCGGTTGTGGTGGGGGGCTGGCGGCGACCGAGTGCTGGTAGAGAAGGTGGGGTTGGCAGTGGTTGTGGTAAGAGATGCTGGGGATGGTGGCTAGCGGAAATTGGGGTGTTCATTAGTGAAGGGTATTTTGGACCATTCCTCCCCATAGTCAACCACTCATAAAAATGACTAAAAGTCAAAGTGGGAACATCATTCCCAAACGGAGGGAGTAGTTTTAAAGGTTTAATTTTTTTAAAAAAAGTTTTGTTAGGAATCAGAGATCAGAGGCGGTCAAGCGGAAGCGAACAAACACACACACACACACACAAATAGCAGAAATAAGAACACGAGATTTAACGTGGTTCGGTCAGTAACCTACTCCACGGGTTGCAACTAGGGTTTATCTTTTATTAGGTGCTCACAGATTATAGTTACATGATTGGGTATTTATAAGATATAAACTAGGGTTAACAACTTGCTAAACAAGAAACAACTAATGGGCCCTTTAATTAATAACTAAAACCGGCCCCCCATGTTTCTTCCCTTTAGCCGACCAGGCTTAAAGCCCACAGCTCTAAAGCCTTCACCGAATAACCCAACAAGTTTGATGTTCTTATGAACCATTTCATTGAACTGGAAGTATCTTTACTCTCGAGCTGCTGTCAATTAAAACTAACAATGTTCAAAAACTGTGATTTTGTTGGTTTTTACTTCTTTTCGGCTTAATTTAGAATGGCCACTTAAATCTAATT